GCCCTGAGTCAGCCCCAACACCCTTGGCTGCTCAGTCCCATCTCAGACTCAGGGCCACCACAGATGGGGCCAAGCTCTTCTCGGCAGCTTAGCCTAAAATTCCTTTTTTGATTTCAGCTACTATGTCCTGAGCACTACTGGGTGCAAGGCACTGTGCCAGGAGCCAATGACAGGAGTGAACAGACACAGCCTTGATCATTGTACCACCCTCACCTACAGCACAGGCATGAAGGGAAGCAAGGGAGGGACAAGTAAACCACTCATTAAATGACTTCAATTGCGTTCAGTGCCACAAGCAAAAAGAATAGGATGCTCTGAGAGAGGAATAATGGGTGCTGGTTCAGGGGGCACGTGGTAGAAAGACCAGTGCCCCCGCCACCAAAAATGTCCTCATCCTAATCCCTCGAATCCGTGACTGTGTGAAGTTACAGCAAAGGGGAATTAAGGTTGCTGATGGCTGGTGGTTGCTCATTAGCTGACTTGAAGATCAGAAGATTACCGTGGCTGGATCTAGGGCCACCACAAGGGTCTGTATGAGTGGAAGAAGAAGGCAGGAGAGAGACCCAGGAAGATGGCAGCAGGATGAAGACTCGGGCTAACATTTCCAGCTTTGAAGATAAAGGAAGGGCCACAAGCCAAGGAACACAGGAACCATCTACGAGCTCCCACAAAAAAGTACACAGTCCTCATCCAGAGCCTCCAGGAGGAACACATTCTTTGGACTTCTTGTCTTTAGCTCAGTGAGACCCATTTTGCACCTCTGACTTCCAGAATTGCAAGAGAATAACTTTCCATTGTTTTAAGTCACTAGTTTGTGTTAATTTGTTACATCAGTGATACAAATCTAAAACGTACCTGGTCACTGAGGAAGCCCTCTCTGAGGAGGGAAGCCACAGAGAAGTGAGAGAGAACCAGGCAGACTGGATAGAGAGCAGGGAGGGGCAGAGGAAATCTCAGGGGTTGAGGTGGAAAGGAGCAGGTGCCTCTCATGCCCTCTGCCCATGTCCAGCAGGTCCCCCCATTTTACCCTTTACCCTCACTTTCTATGTCTTTAAGAAAATAAAACCATCAGTTTAGTGAGCAGCTTAATTGAAAGGTACCTGGAAATGACATCCACCAGTCCATGGCAAGTAGAGTACCCAGGACCATTGGGACCCAGCCAATGTCCTTGTGTGCACATAGCTCTGTTAGGGCACAGGGGACAGGGCATGTGGTTCCTGGACTAGCTCCTCTTGAAGACCTTATCTCGCTTCTCATACTCACTGAAGCCAAAGGGCAGTAGCTCCCCTTCTTTTCTCCTGCAGCCCAGAATTTTTAAGAGTTTCAAATGCCATGTCAATATCTGGTAGGTTGCAAAATATCGTTGGGCAGGAATCAACTAGTTACAGTGATCAAGACACTATGAGAATCTTTGGTGCAAAACTTTTGGCATTTGCTGGGACTTGATGGAAATAAAATCTGAAAACTATCTCCATTCTAAGCTGATATAAGATGCCGTACTTGCCTTCTTCAACGTAACTGAGCAGCCAAGGACTACACAGGGTTAGCAGAGCTGCAGAGAATGGATCTGCAGACTCTATAGAGACTGAGAAGCCATACTATGCAGACGTGAGGATGCCCTAGTGCCAGAAGGGGCAGACAACACCCTGATAACAGCATCACAACTCAAAGTGAACCTAAGCCAACAAGCTGATATTTAATAGGGAAAAATGTTATGTCTATTTTTTCAGGCCCCAAAGTACAGCAGCCCAAGGGTATTCTCCTTCTAGGCTGCGGGACAGTCCCAGGAACAGTGCCTGCAGAGACAGTGTGCAGAGGCCACCCAAGAGACACAGGTGGAAATTGTGTTGAAAATAAGAGGCCCAAAGACATGACCCTAGTTTGGACTTTGAGGAACAGGAACTAAGGGCTCTGCCCACTAAGCTGAGAACTCTGCCCTGGCTCTGGGTCTAGCACTGTGTAAGTGCTGGGGATGCCTGAGAAGAGAAGGCAGTGGGGCCAGGCAAGGGGGGAAGAGGAGAAAGATGCAGAGAAGGAAAGAACAGAGGAAAGGAAAAGGAAGAAGTCACTGAGGGCGCCTGTGCAGCAGGCTCCTCTGCCAAATTCTTGCTCTCCTCCCTCCATACTTGCTCGCTCTCCCTCCCCACTCAGAAGACAAAGTCCCCAAGGCCACCCCTGTCCAGCTGCTGCCAGCAGGCTTGGTCTGTGCCCTTGCTCAGGCCTGTGATTCTTACTGCCATTGTTAATGGGCAAGGAGCCGCCATGCGTTCCCGCTGGGAACTCTGCCAGGCCGACAGCCATTTGTGTTAAATATCTTGAGCCTAGTAATTAGGGCTGGAGGAATACTGGGGACCAGAGGGCAGCCTCTGTTTGGATAAACTTGGCAAAGTTCAGCTGCTCCTCTGCACTGGGCCTCTTTGGGATTTGCAATGGGGAGTGGTGAAGGCCAGTGGAGGGCCTTAGCTTCACCTGCCAACATGCCCTTTGGATAGGGTCCAGGGCCACCTCCAAGCTGAGAGATGCTGAGAGCACACATAGGCAGCTCAGTGAAAAGAAGGGAGCACCTATGCATGGGGAGTGGAGCATGGGGGGCAAGTGGAGGAAAAACCCTAGGTTCAAGTCCTCCAGGGAAATTCCCTCAGTTCTGTGAGTCTCAGCACTTTTGGAAAATGGCCACTACACTCCTGACCTTGCCCACCACAGGACTGTTACATCACAGGGCTCCAGGGTAAGTCTTGGCAGCCTATAAAGTGCTACATGAATGTGAAGGCTCTACCTCTCCAGCCTGGCCTAACCTGCTGAAGGTTGGGAAATGAGGAGCCAGAGCTGGGGGTCAGGGGAGGATGGGGTGTATCCCACCACCTGTTGGCCTTGTGCACAGTACCTCCCTGTGATCTGCATGGACTGCTCTTGTGGCAGAGAAGGAAAGGTTCTGCAGGTGAGGACCTGGCAGGCCTCCCCAACACTGGCAAGGCCCAGGGCAAGAGAACACACAGAGGCCATTCCCCATATGTCTCGTATTTAAAAGTCATAAATCAAGCTAACAAACCGTTAAATGAAATATGCTCCCTCCTCCCACCTTGTTAAATACATCTTTGCAACAACCTGGAAGGCCAGGACTGAATTTAGAATTCTGGGCCTCCTTGGCATTCTGTGCCAGGACATGGCTGGCAGGGGGAGCCTGCCCAGCCAGGATTTGACTTGCTGTTCTCCCCACCCCAGCTCTTTGTTGCCACATGGGGCCTTGATCACATGTGTGGGGATACCCAGCCCTCACATCCAGGATCCACACACTGTCTTTAGGAGGACAGCCCCAGGGAAGAGGTTGAAGAGGCCTGGACTCCAGGGTAAGTCAGAGGAGGGGTATAGGCATGTCCCCTGGCCTGCAGACCCTCCTGGTCCAGGGTGAAAGGGGCCACTGCCTCAACAGGACCAGCTCAGTAGGGCCAGATCAAGGTGCTCTTAGGAGGACCTCCCACAGCAGGGTCCCTCTTACCTGGGTCTAAAGGTGGCCTTCACTTTGGTGACTTGGGCATGTCCCAGACCCTTTCTGGGCTCAATTTCCTTACCAAAAAGGGGGATGAATGATCCTTTGCCTATTTCAAAGCATTGTGAGATCCCAAAGAGAACCAGTGGGAGTGGGGGGGTTAAAATAACTACAGGCAGTCTCCAAGTTACAAACATTCCATTTACGTACAATGTACATTTACACACAGAATCTTTTATAGTAAGTCCCCAAATGACAAACATCAACTGATATACAACTTATGGACAGAGGCTATTACAGGTAATAAGTAAATGTACCTGTTCCAACTTACATACAAATTCAACTTAAAAACAAACCTACAGAACCTAACTTGTTTGTAACCTGGGGACTACTTGTATGCTGGATTTTTTAAATGCCCAGAAAGAGTCAACAGCATGTGTTGGGAGAGGACCAGGCCCTTAGAGCCCCTTGACACTGGAATAAATTGGGTGACCCCAGGTAAGTGACTCCAAACAAGAGACAGCATGGTGACTATAGTTAATAATAATGCATTGCATATTCCAAAACAGCTAAAAGACAGGATTTTAACGCTTCTCACCACAAAGCAATGATGAATATTTGAGGTGATAGATAAGCTAACGAGCCTGATTTGATCATTCCAAAATGTATACATTGTACCCCATAGATATATTCAATTTAAAAAATTAAATAAATAAAAATTAAAAGAAAAATGTTAAAGAGATGCTAACTTGGCAATGTAATAACATCCAGGGGAGCCCTGGTATTTTCCTCTGATTTTTTTAAACATCTTTCAAAAGAGGATACTTTGGATAACTCTGCTATGCTAATGCCCTTAATACCCAGAGAGCAAGCACAACAATGGTGTGTCATCTTGTCCCCATGCCACCCACAATGCAAAGAGACCTGGTGGCCTCCTTTCCATTTCCAAATGTTTTGAAACTGACACTTCACTGGCAAGAGGGGATGAGGTTCCAGTGGTCACAGGGTGTTGTTTAGAATCAAGTGACAAGCCCACCAGCCAACATCCTGTCTGTCTTGAAGGCACTGTCCTTCACCTCAAGGAGTAAGGCCACTGAGAGTACCTCAGGGGCTTCCCACTTGTCCATGTCACACAAACTGAGTGGGAGAGAAAGAGTGAGAACAGGGAGGGTGGGAAGTGAGAGAGGCCCCCTCTACATGGTCTGGGTGGCCTCTAGGCAGCCCCTGCACCCCTCTGTGTCCACACTTCCCATGTGGGCAATGAGGGCTGTCTGAGTGACAGTCAAAGCCCCCCTGCTCCCATGTCTTCCTCAGGGCCTGTGCTGTTGCTGGCTGGTCCCAGACCCACTGCAGGCCCAGCTGTAGAGAAAGAGGCTGAAATCACAGACCTCTGCCTGATTTATTCAGGTCTGCATCTGAGAAGCGTAGAGGTCACCTGGGCTGTTTGGGGGGATGCCCCCCCACTGAAACCCCTCTGCTGCCTGCTGTGGAGATGCCGACAGCGCAAACTCACCAGGCACCATCCCTGTCAGCGTCGGTGCTGAGTAGCTGCCCTGTCCAGCGGGGGGGACGTGCGGAGGGTACCCGGGGAGGGTCGTGCTCGCCAAGTCACGGCCTGAGGAATCAAAGCAACAAATCACAGGGTGAGTATCTCCGCAGCTAGCTGCTCATGTCCACAGCTCCCTGGACACTTCTGCACATTTGTCACGTCTGGACGCTGAATGCCAACGTGCCCCCAGGTCCCCCCTGTCGCTCACATGTGCTCTCACAAAACACATACACACTGGCATGCACACACATCTCCAGCTACCCTGGCTCCACTCAGAAAGAATTGAGTTGGGTCTCTGGACTGTCCCTGGGAAACTGGAATCCCATCCTTGGGGAGGTGGGACAATATAAATGCCAGCACACCCTGGCTTTGGCCAACTCTCTTTGCTCTCTGCTGCCCAAGCATGTCTTAGGTGTCTCCACCCCCCACACTGTTGCTTCTGCTGAGCCCTCTGTGCACAGTATCCCTCCCTCCAGCTGCACACAGCCTGCCACTACTGTCTGCAAAGACCAGCTCCTCTTTCTCAACAGCCCTGTGGTGGGCAGGAAACACCTGCCTCAGAGCCTACAGCTCCATCTCTGACCAAGTACCGAATTCTTCCTCCTCTGGCCTAGAGCTACACTTTAATTCAGCAAAGATGCAGGAAGCACCAAACACTGCTTTGGTGCCAGGACATACAGGCAAAAGGCTAGGCTCTCTAGGTATGGATAATATAATGGGCAGTGTACAGGTAGGGGCGGGCTTCTGTGCTCTGACCATGATTCCAGACTCTTCACATGTCTCTCAGCTGGAACACTATCTCCGTTGTTGATTGACTTTATTGTGCAGAAGGAAATTCATTCCACTGCAGTTTTGATGGGGTGTGTATATTAGGTTGACTGCCACATCTGCCTCTTGAAAGATGGAAGGCATTCTGCCCATAGAAGGGTGCCTGACCGGAGAATGTTCTTCTGAGCAAAGTATCACAAGAATGGAGGAAAAAGTATCCAATGTACACACCCCTATTATGAAACTAATTTAAACCTTTTTATATGAAAGCTATAACCAAATAGCCTAAGAATATGGGGAGGGGGAGGGAGAAGGGAGGGGGGAATGGGTGGAGGGAGGGGGTTTGGAGGGATTACTTCTGAGGTTTACCTTATAGGGGTACAGGTGAATCTTTCTAAGAGTAGAATGTGAACGTTTTAAAGCAATAACTGAGAAAATGACATGAAGGCTGTGTTGACCAGTTTGATGGAAGTATTTCAGATTGCATGTGAAAACCCCACACTGTACCCCAGAAGTGCATTAATGTACATAGTTACCATTCAAAAAAAAAAAAAAAAGAAGGGTGCCTGACACAGGTCCCCTCATCCTACCTAGCTGCCAGGGATAGATACAAGGGTTCTCAGAGGCGATTTGCCTAAGGACACTGAGCTGATTGGAGGCAAGGCTGGGGCTGGCGTCCAGCTCTCCTACCTCCTGGGATTGGATTCTTCCTTTAACAGGGGTTTCTCTTTTGGTTGTGTCTGAGCCCCAACAGATTCTGTTGCTATTACACACACTTTAAAAATCTTGATCCCTAAAGTAAAGGTTCAGAAAATCAGTGCCTCGCTGAAGCACTCAACTCAAGAAGCCAGATAAAAAACAATAAAATGAATTTAAAGCAAAGATAAGGAAAGGATCAGTAAAGAAAAATCAGCAAATAATGAATTAGAAAACAGAAAAAAAGCCACAACAATAAATATAACCAAGAAGTGTTATTTGAAAAGACCAATAAAATAGACAAACCTTTGTCAAGATTTAAAAAAAAAAAAACAGCACAAATATCAAAATAAGGAATAAGGTGAAGATATAACCAGAGATATGGAAGATTTAAAAATTAAATGTGGAAGTCTCAACAAAATGTATAATTTCTAGGAAAACATGAATTACCAAAAGTAGTTCAAGAAGAGGCAGAAAATACCATCAGCCCAATAACATTTTGTTTTTTATATTAAGCATCTCATCCAGGTAGCTTCTCAAGCAAGTTTTTGTTAGTACAATCTATTTTTGTTTTTGGCAAGTTCTTTTAAACTGTCAAGGGAAACATATTTCTGTTATTTAATTGTTCCAAGATATGTAAAACTATGATAATCTTCCCAATTCATTTCACCAAGCTAGCATAATCCTAATCTAAAAACGTAACAAAAGTAACACAAAATATAAAAATAAAGGCTAGACTCACAATTTATTTAATATAGATGCAAAAGGTTTATTAATGCACTTGTTGAATAATATTAGAGAAAGAATAATATACCATGGCCAAACAAGGTTGATTCCAGGTATGCAAGGATGGTTCAATATCAAAGGGTTTGTCAGGAGATCATATTAACATATCGAAGGAGGAAAAACCATATGATTATGTCAAAGACATGGAACAGGCATTGGCTAAAATTCAATATTAACTCCTAAGGATACCTCTCAGTAATTAAGAATTGAAGTATACTTCTTTGATCTTATACTGATCTTAAATTTGAAGTCAATATCATACTTAATTGGTGAACTAGAGAATTTCTATTAAAGCAAGAATATATGTAAGAAACCTATTCTCAATGTTATCATTGAAAACTATTCTGAAAGTTTTAGCAGCCAGTGTAAGACAGGATATAGACACAGGGGGATATACATCAGGAGAAGAAAAACTCAAAATTATCATTAGCTTCATATGTCCAAGGCCTGGGAAATCATAAGAAAATCAATTCATCTACTGGAACCAATGAAAGAGCTTGGCGAGGCAGGCAAGTGATGGTTTGTGTCCACTCTAGCCTTGTGCAGGACTTAGCCATCATGCTGGGGGCTCTGTCTGTTTCCAGCCCCTCCTCCCAGCCCACCAGGATGGCAGTGTGCACCCTGGGGGGCTGATAAACAGTCACCTATACTCTATAAATCATGCTGCCTCTGAGTTCCCCATTACCGAGGGGCTCCTTTGCCTTGCCCATGGCTCCATTTGTATCCAGCAAATGTCCCTAGAATAGAGGCTTCATCCTGTGACTGTATTTACTTTCCCTAGACTAATCATGAAAGCAAAGAGCCTGAGTTTTCACTTGCAAGGGAGAGAGAGAAACCAACAGCTCTCTATGTTGTCTGGACCTCCTGAATCACTATAGTGTACCAGGCATTGGGGTAGGCTGTTGACTGCCACTGTAACCATGACAGGCCTTGTTATGATATTGACTTTAGATTTAAGATCAATATAAGATCAAAGAAGATTCCATTTAATCTTTGCAGCTCACAAAATTCCTGATAAAATCTTATGGGACTGTGTGGGGAAGTCTTAGGGAGGCTATAACTTGAGGAAGAAAGGCTGGTGGCAGAGCACAGTGACAAAGACTGTCAAGTCTGCCCAGGCTAGCTGTATGACCTTGATGACTGTACTACCTCAGTTTCCTCATTTATAAAATGGGGATACTAACAGCCAACACTAACACAGAGCAAATTCTGAGCCAGATCCACACGTACACATTTATTCCTCACACTAATGCCACTAGGGAGCTACTAGTATCCCTATTTTACGGAGGAGGAAACTGAGGAACAGAGAGTTTAAGTAACTTGCTTATAGTAACACAGCTAGGAAGTAAAAAAGGGAGGTTTCAAATCCAGTCAGTAGAGCTTGCAAGTCTGCCATCCCCACCCCTGCTCCGTGCCACCTCTGCCACTATAACCACAACAAGCCTCATTCCCTGGGCTGTCGTGAGGAGTTGGCAGGAGGGTACATGAGAAACAAATATGTGGAAGATAGAATTATGACCCAATCTGGACCCACACCTTTCACCATTATCTAAGATAGACTCTCACTGGATTAAAGATTTAAACTGAAGACATGAAACTATAAAAATACTAGAAGAAAGTGCAGGGAAAACTCTTGAAGAAATCAGCCTATTCTTGAAGAATATTTTATGAGGAGGACCCCCTGGGCAATTGAAGCAACATCAAAAATACACTACTGGGACCTGATCAAACTAAAAAGCTTCTGCATAGCCAAGAACACAATAAGTGAAGCAAGCAGACAGCCCTCAGAATGGGAGAAGATATTTGCAGGTTATGTCTCTGACAAAGGTTTAATAACCAGAATCCACAGAGAATGCAAACGTATTAGCAAGAAAAGAACAAGTGATCCCATCTCAGGGTGGGCAAGGGACTTGAAGAGAAACTTCTCTGAAGAAGATAGGCACACATATGAAAAAATGTTCATCATCCTTAATCATCAGAGAAATGCAAATCAAAACTACTTTGAGATATCATCTAACTCCAGTAAAATTAGCCCATATCACAAGAGCCCCAAACAAGAGACGTTGGCATGGATGTGGAGAAAAGGGAACACTTCTACGCTACTAGTGGGAATGCAAACTAATACATTCCTTTTGGAAAGATGTTTGGAGAACACTTAAAGAACTAAAAACAGACCTACCATTCGATCCTACAATTCCTCTACTAGGTATATATCCAGAAGACCAAAAATCACACTATAACAAAAATATTCGTACCAGAATTTTTATTGCAGCCCAATTCATAATTGCTAAGTCATGGAAGAATCCATGAATGGATCAATAAATTGTGGTATATGTACATCATGGAATATTACGCAGCCTTAAAGAAAGATGGAGACTTTACCTCCTTCATGTTTACCTGGATGGAGCTGGAACATATTCTTAGCAAAGTATCTCAAGAATGGAAGAAAAAGCATCCAATGTACTCAGCCCTACTATAAAACTAATTTATAGCTTTCATATGAAAGCTATAACCCAATTATAGCCCAAGAACATGGAGAAAAGGGAAAGGGAGGGGAGGGGAGGGGGCTGGATGGGTGGTGAGAGGATAATTGGTGGGACCACACCTATAGTGCATCTTATAAGGGAACATGTAAAACTTACTAAATGCAGAATATAAATGTCTTAACAGAATAACTAAGAAAATGCCATGGAGGCTATGTTAACCAGTTTGATGAGAATATTTCAAATTGTATATAAACCAGCACATTGTACCCCATGACTGCATTAATGTACACAGCTATGATTTAATAAAAAAAAAAAAGAAAGAAAGAATTA